TCATGGTGTATATTGGGGGGGGCATGGTGTATATTGGGGGGGTCATGGTGTATATTATGGGGGGGAGCAAATCATAATCCTCCTCGCTGTAGTATATAGTCCTCACTTCCTGCCATCAGACACTACACAGGAAATGACGCGCGCAGCGATCTATTGGGTGGCCGCCGCCCACTCACAATTTGTCTAGCAGAGTCTTTCCCCCGTCAGCGAAGAATCCGCGGATACAAAGCTCGTTCAGCGCGTATTCAATTCTGGGCGGAGCAAACGGAACCAACTGGAGAGAGAAACAAAGTTATCAACAATCTGTTACAATGTATACCCATGTGACAGCAGAACCCCCCAGACCCGCCATCCCTACAGACCCGTCATCCCTACAGACCTGCCATCCCTATAGACCCCCCAGACCCCGCCATCCCTATAGACCCCACAAACCCGCCATCCCTACAGACCCCCCAGACCCGCCATCCCTATAGACCCCACAGACCCCGCCATCCCTATAGACCCCACAAACCCGCCATCCCTACAGACCCCGCCATCCCTATAGACCCCGTTGTCCATTTCAACTGACCACAACGGCAGAGGATACCATACCGGAGACAAGTCCCTCATCATCTCACACCAATACCCATGCATGAAGGGTTGAGGAAGAGGAAGGGTTGAGGAAGAGGAAGGGGTGAGGAAGAGGAAGGGGGGAGGAAGAGGAAGGGGTGAGGAAGAGGAAGGGGGGAGGAAGAGGAAGGGGTGAGGAAGAGGAAGGGGGGAGGAAGAGGAAGGGGTGAGGAAGAGGAAGGGGGGAGGAAGAGGAAGGGGTGAGGAAGAGGAAGGGGGGAGGAAGAGGAAGGGGTGAGGAAGAGGAAGGGGGGAGGAAGAGGAAGGGGTGAGGAAGAGGAAGGGGGGAGGAAGAGGAAGGGGTGAGGAAGAGGAAGGGGGGAGGAAGAGGAAGGGGTGAGGAAGAGGAAGGGGGGAGGAAGAGGAAGGGGTGAGGAAGAGGAAGGGGGGAGGAAGAGGAAGGGGTGAGGAAGAGGAAGGGGGGAGGAAGAGGAAGGGGTGAGGAAGAGGAAGGGGGGAGGAAGAGGAAGGGGTGAGGAAGAGGAAGGGGGGAGGAAGAGGAAGGGGTGAGGAAGAGGAAGGGGGGAGGAAGAGGAAGGGGTGAGGAAGAGGAAGGGGGGAGGAAGAGGAAGGGGTGAGGAAGAGGAAGGGGGGAGGAAGAGGAAGGGGTGAGGAAGAGGAAGGGGGGAGGAAGAGGAAGGGGTGAGGAAGAGGAAGGGGGGAGGAAGAGGAAGGGGTGAGGAAGAGGAAGGGGGGAGGAAGAGGAAGGGGTGAGGAAGAGGAAGGGGGGAGGAAGAGGAAGGGGTGAGGAAGAGGAAGGGGGGAGGAAGAGGAAGGGGTGAGGAAGAGGAAGGGGGGAGGAAGAGGAAGGGGTGAGGAAGAGGAAGGGGGGAGGAAGAGGAAGGGGTGAGGAAGAGGAAGGGGGGAGGAAGAGGAAGGGGTGAGGAAGAGGAAGGGGGGAGGAAGAGGAAGGGGTGAGGAAGAGGAAGGGGGGAGGAAGAGGAAGGGGTGAGGAAGAGGAAGGGGGGAGGAAGAGGAAGGGGTGAGGAAGAGGAAGGGGGGAGGAAGAGGAAGGGGTGAGGAAGAGGAAGGGGGGAGGAAGAGGAAGGGGTGAGGAAGAGGAAGGGGGGAGGAAGAGGAAGGGGTGAGGAAGAGGAAGGGGGGAGGAAGAGGAAGGGGTGAGGAAGAGGAAGGGGGGAGGAAGAGGAAGGGGTGAGGAAGAGGAAGGGGGGAGGAAGAGGAAGGGGTGAGGAAGAGGAAGGGGGGAGGAAGAGGAAGGGGTGAGGAAGAGGAAGGGGGGAGGAAGAGGAAGGGGTGAGGAAGAGGAAGGGGGGAGGAAGAGGAAGGGGTGAGGAAGAGGAAGGGGGGAGGAAGAGGAAGGGGTGAGGAAGAGGAAGGGGGGAGGAAGAGGAAGGGGTGAGGAAGAGGAAGGGGGGAGGAAGAGGAAGGGGTGAGGAAGAGGAAGGGGTGAGGAAGAGATGTTATGGTTTTAATATTTTGGATGTCATGTGATTAAACATCCCTTCACCTGATGAATGGAACTTGTATGAGAAGTTATGGGGGGCGCACATGTTATGGGGGGCGCACATGTTATGGGGGGCGTACATGTTATGGGGGGC